CGTCACTCAGCATTCTTTCCCTGACAAAGCCACGTGGTTGGCAGCGTAACACGTGGGGGCGCAGTCGAAGACCAGAAGTCTGGGTAGACTCAATATGCTTGTATATTTTTTACTCTTGTATGTATGCATTTGGCAATTTTAACTATAGCATTTATAATAAACAATATCACACTATTGGAGGCTATCTTCATTTTCTTATGGGGATGCTGAGAGGAGGAGAAGGCTTTAAGGCACCACTGATTAGTATTCACCACTGTGGAGGAAGATACAGCAGGAGGTGTTTACTGCCATCTTGGGTTCTAATAGGGAAATCCCCAAGCACATGAGACCCGTATATTCCAATATAGGTCATGTTTTTCAGGCGAGTGGCCATCCTTAAGTATGGTGGTGGAACACGTTGGCGATGCATTCAGTTATTTCATAATCATTGAAGTTTACATCCATTATTGAAGATAATTGGAGCACAGTCACAATATATGTGGATATGGACTTTGATTTATCATTAGGACTGTATTCATTTACAGTATATGATTTAAATATGCAATGAGTATTATATGAATTAAGTGTTATTATTCACATATTTATGTATTAACCACTTGAGCTCCAGAGGATTTACCCACCTTAATGACCAGGCCTCTTTTTGCTACTCGGCGCTGCACTAATTCAACTAATAATTGCGCGGTCATGCAATGCTGCACCCAAACGAAATTTACGTCCTTTTTTTCACACAAATAGAGCTTTCTTTCAGTGGTATTTGATCATCTGTGCGCTTTTTATTTTTCACGCTATAAACAAAAAAATGCCCAAAATTTTGAAGAAAAACAATATTTTTTACTTTCAGCTATAAAAAATATATAGTAAACTCAAAGTTGGTTATAAATTTAGGCCAAAATGTATTCTGCTACATGTTTTTGGTAAAAAAAAACCCAATGAGTGTATATTGATTGCTTTGTGTGGAAGTTATAGCGTCTACAAACTATGGTATAAATACTGCAACTTACGCCATTTTTCTGCTATACAGCGCTGCGCTAGTTTAACGAACAATTGCGCAATCATGCAATACGGTACATAAATGAAATTTACATCCTTTTTTTCCCCACAAATTGAGCTTTCTTTTGGTGGTATTTGATCGCCTGTGCGGTTTTTATTTTTTGCGCTATAAAAAAAAAGGCTGACAATTGTGAGGAAAAAAAAACAATATTTTGGACTTTTTGCTATAAAACATGTCCAGTAAAAAAAAATGCAAAAATCAAATTTAGTCATAAATTTCTGCCAAAATACATTCTGCGACATGTCTTTGCTAAAAAAAACCCAATATGTGTAAATTAATTGGTTTACATGAAATTTATAGCGTTTACAAATGGTGGGAAAGATACTGGGATTTTTAGGGTTTTTTTTATACTAATAATGGCGGCGATCAGTGACTTATGGCAGCGACTTATGGCGGGACTGCGGGACTGCAGCGGACATTCTGACATTGGGGGGTACTGACTTGGGGTCACTGACATCCCCAAAAACACTAATACAGTGATCAGTGCAAAAAGAAAAACACTGACACGGTACTAATGGCACTGGGGAGGAAGGGGTTAACTTTATTTTGCAGAGAAGGGTTATCTGAGTGAGGGGGAGTGTTTTACTAGGGGGCGGGGGGGTGTGCTGCACTGGACACGCTGATCGAGAGAGAGAAACTCTTCTGTCTCGATCAGCTCATCCTCGAGCTGACAAGGAAGTGACAGAAAGCACAGCTACTGCAGCTGTGCTCTCTGTCACTGTTTACCGCTGATCGCCAGGAAACAGCCGCTAAGGACCGGCTGTGACCCGGCGACTGACATCCGCGGCAGTGATCGGCGAGACAGATAGGGCGGCAGCGCGCCTCGCACGCGCCCCCTATTTGTTTACAAAACACGCATTTTAAAACGTGGTTTTGCCTGCCAGTGCCGCCCTGCCGCCGTATTTCTACAGTGGCAGGGCGGCAAGTGGTTAAGGTTATAATATTGAGTAGCGCAACACTCTCATTAATCAATCTTCGTTTTTGGGTGTGGGATCACTTACAGTGGTTGCAGCAACTCTTGGTTATATGATATTTGTAGGAGGCAGATGGCGCATTTGGATACGTATTGATATTATGGATTTAATTCTCCAGGAGAGCATAAAGTGTATCTACATAAAGTTTGGAGAAAGACCGGGTCTAATGACCAGGAAGGGGAACATTTCCCAACACTGATAGCAATTAAAACCTTGGGAAGTAGAGGAAAGGTCTGGAACATGGGATCCCTTAACTCCTTCTTGCTCGGCCTATTGTAGAATGACAGTCGAATGGGATCCTTATTATCTTGGGAGGACGTCCTATGACTTCCTCCCAGGATTGCGGCACAATCTGTCACCAGCTGTGTCCACCAGACACGGCCGATGATAGATCACTACACCGGTCCACTGCCAGTGTCATGTGATTGCTGTGACCAATCACAGCAGATCACATGATAGTTGTAAACAATGAATGGCTTCCTTTCATGCCATTCATTGCTTACAACTGTGCTGCTAGCTGTGATTGGTCACAGTGGTCACATGTAACGACTGGGCCAATTACAGCCTATCTGTAGTATGTAATCAGCTGTGGCCCATCAAAGCTGATCACAACAAAAACTACTGAATGAATTCAGTAAAAATGGTTGCTTATACCAATTAAATTTGATGGTAAAAGCATTCATAATGTGTAAAAAAAAATCCAGATCACTTGCCCAGAGTAGTACAATGTTACTATGGTAACATTGTGTTGCTCTGGTCACAGGAGTAGAGAAAAAAAATCATAAAACAATTTAAAAAAATAATAAAAATAAAAAAAAGTAAACATTTAAAAAAATTATTACGATTATTTATTTATGTATTTATTTATTTACATACTGTCGCCAGTCAGTGTCCCTGATCACCACCACACCAGTTATATGATGATGATGTACTGCATTAGTGACAGTATGTAAAAAAAAAGTTAACTTTTTTTTATTTCTTCATTTTCCACAAAATTATGACATTTGGGAGATATTTGTACTGTCCTGGCATTTTTGGGCCTCAAGAAATAAAATAGGCTGTCAGTACATCGGGAATTATTGATTTTTAGGTATATACCATAGTTGGTGGACTCTATAAATTTCCTACTAACTAAATAATATTTTTTTTTTACCAAAGAAATGTAGCAGAATACATTTTGGCCAAAATTTGTGAAGAAAGATTATTTATTTGCAACATTTTATAACAGAAACAAAGAAAAATGCTTTTGTTTCAAAGTTTTTGTTCTTTTTTCATTTATACTGCAAAAAATAAAAAAAAAAAAGTGGTGATTAAATACCTTAAAAAAAAATCTCTATTTGTGTAAAAAAAAAAAATTATAACAATTTCATATGGGTACAGGGTTGTATGACCTCACAATTGTCATTCAAAGTGCAACAGCACTGAAAGATGAAAATTGGCCTGGACAGGAAGGGGGCAAAAGTGCCTGGTAGGCAAGTGGTTAATGCAGTAGATGTTCTCAAGCAGGTTTTAAGTCATGTAGAGGGAATTATTTCATTAGGCATTTCTCCCAGGAATATTAGCTTAATGGTGGCTCTTTGTGGAGTAGGGATTGGGTGTGACAGCGTAAGAAGCAGAACACATTGGGATTGATTTACTAAAAGTATAACCTGTGCACCTTGCAAAGTGCAGTTTCACTTTGCAAGTGCAGTTGCTCCATAGCTAAGTGAATGAGTAGACACTTTGCTGACTTCCATCATCCAATCGTGTACAAGCAAAAATACTTTTTTTTCTATTTTCCTTGAATGTGATTGGGTATTTTTTGCAAGATGAATCTTTACCTCATTCACTAAGCTCTGGAGCAATTGCTGAGTGCAACTGCACTTTGTAAAGTGCACAGTCTATTTGCCTTTAGTAAATCAACCCCAAATTCAATTTGGAAACCCTGGCCCACAATAGTGAATGGTCTGGTTTGATGAAGTAGCCCTTCTAGTATTTGTCTAAGAAACTCAATTTGAACTATGATAGGCCAATATACATTTAATAGGTTGAGAGAGGTACCCACAAGTTTACAGTCTAATAAAATATATCTGCCCTGGGAGTCTACTCTAGAGGAGATCACTGTTACCCTAGGTTTACACTTATGCTAATTTCAGTACATTTTCCACTTTGCAGAAATGCACTAAAGTCCATTTAACATGATTTCCTATAGATCTAGTTCACATCTCTGCATTTTGAGTTGGTGAATTTTTTTGAAAAGGTCAGGGACTTTTTTTCCCGCAGCAGACTGCATTTCGGAAGCATTTTGTATTTTTTTTACCAATAGGAAAGTATTGACTTTGATGCTACTTTGATGTGACTTTGATGTAACTTTGGATAGATGCGACTTTGATCTTTTTTCTTGCTAATAGGAAAGTATGGACAAAGTTAAAAAAGCTATAATTAATAGGAAAAGAGCTTTTATTAACCACTTGCCTACAGGGCACTTATACCCCCTTCTTTACCAGGCCAATTTTCAGCTTTCAGCGCTGTTGCACTTTGAATGACAATTGCGCGGTCATGCAAGATTGTACCCATATGAAATTTTTATCATTTTATTCTCACAAATAGAGATTTCTTTTGGTGGTAATTAATCACCGCTGGGCACTTTACTTTTTGCGCTATAAACAAAAAAATTGCAAAAAATTTGAAAAAAATAAGTTTCTTTGTTTCTTTTATAAAATTTTTCAAACAGGTAATTTTTCTCCTTCACTGATGTGCATTGATGAGGCAGCACTGATGGGCACTAATAGGCGGCACTGATGGGACTGATAGGCAGCACTGTTGGGAACTGATAGGCAGCACTGATAGGCAGCACTAATGAGGTGGCATGGATAGGCGGCACTGATAGGCAGCACTAATGAGGTGTCACGGATAGGCGGCATTGATAGGTGGCACTGATAGACAGCACTGATAGATGGCACTGACTGGCATCACTGCTGGGCACTGACTGGCGGCACTGCTAGGCATTGACTGGCACAACTGCTGGGCACTGACTGGCATAACCACTGGGCACTGACTGGCAGCACTGCTGGGCTGTACTGATGGGCACTGGTGGGTGGCACAGGTGGATGGCACTGGTGGGCACAGATGGGTGGCACTGCTGGGCACAGGTAGGTGGCACTTCTGAGCACAGGTGTGTGGCACTGCTTGGAGGGCACAGTTGGGTGCACTGCTGGGCACAGGAGGGTGCACTGCTGGGCACAGGTGGGCGCACTAATAGGCACAGGTGGGTGCACTGCTGGGCACAGGTGGGCGCACTGCTGGGCACAGGTGGGCGGAACTGGTGGGTGGCACTGCTGGGCACCAATCATCAGGGCACTGATCATCAGTGCCCTGATGATCGGTGCCGATCCCTGCTCTGACAACTGCTGGTTCTCGGCAGCACTTTCCTCACGCTGACAGCGTGAGGAAAGTGCAGCCGAGAACCGGCAATTGCATTTCCCGGTGATCAGCGTGTCATTGGACATGGCTGATCACGTGGTAAAAGGCCGCTGTGATTGGCCTTTTACCACATCACGTGATCAGCTGTGTCCATAGGACACAGAGATCACGGAGATCACCGGGGGCACGCAGGAGATCGCGTTCTCGGAGGACGTCTTATGACGCCCTCCCAGAACTGGCTGGCCGCAGTGTAGCCGTCATTTGGCTATCTGCGGTCGGCAGATGGTTAAATATAAAAATTAAGAAACATTATCATTGTTTAAACATTGCAAAGAATATAACAGAATATGTAAAATGGAAATCAAGGCCAAAAAGATTGAGAACGAACAACAGATTACAAACCTCCAAAAATTCTACAAATATATTAATAGTAAAAAGGTCCGGTCCGAGCATGTAGGTCCCTTACAAAAAAAATCTAGAGTGGGTGACTGAGGACAAAGTGAAGGCAAATTTATTAAATAGCTTCTTCAGCTCTGTGTATACAAAGGAACATAGGAAAGCTCTTGTCCATAATGGGCATGGTATTGACACAGCCCCAGATGATCCACAATGGCTCACAACTATGATCCAGAAATATTTAGACAGAATAAAAGTGAATAAAGCACCTGAACCAGATGGCATACACCCACTGGTTCTTAAAGAAATGAGGAGCTCTGTCATTTCAAAACCATTGTTTCTAAATTTTAGGGACTCTTTAATGACTGGCATAGTAGCACTGAATTGACATAAGGCAGAATATAACTGGTTACAAACATTTATAGGTAAAGGTGATCCAGGGAATATCCGATTGCCTCTCGGGGGATTAGGAAGGATTTTTTTCCTCTGCAGGAGCAAATTGGATCATGCTTTGCTGTTTTTTTTTGCCTTTCTCTGGATCAACTGTGGGTGCAGGATTATGACTTTTTTTTTTTTTTGTTAATGTTTGAACTAGATGGACTTTTGTCTTTTTCAGCCAGACTAACTATGTAACTATGATACAGAGTAGGTATACACCGCTTACATGAGTCATACTGAGCATAAATACCCTGATGCTGGGAAAAGTAATATAAGTTTAGGTGATTAAAAAATGAATAACCTTGAAAGAACCACAAAGAATAAAACAAATAACAATAAACAGAGTAGTGGACTAGTGAAGACCTAAGGCATTTATCAGGTATTTGAAGAAAACCTGAGAAATCAAAGTGTCTAAGGGCACCATTGACTATCTAGTCTGGGGGAATGAAGGCAACAACAAAAGGCAGATATTGTAGTCTGCTTTTGATAATATAAAAACATAACTACAGCTCGTAAGGTATAAGTTTAGTTCATATGGGAATACGTAGGTATCCTCTAGGGTCATAAAGGTAAAATGTGAGTCTAACTTCCACAAGTGGCAGATAGAAATTGTGATAAAAAAGTCAAGAAGGTTGTTTCAGGGGAGAGGTGAGTTGAGTCAGCAGTTGTCTCCTAGTTTAAAGATGAATTCACACTGCAATGGAGAGCTGCCGGAGAGATTCAATTGATGAGGCCTAGGGAAGGGAATCGTCAAGGCATCCTCTGGAAGCGATGGAAGACCCAGGACTTTAAGAAAGGCTTAACCTTCTTGAATTTCATGGATGCTGTGTTTACGGTCTTTAGTGGCAATTAGCTGAAATGGAAAGCCCCATCAGCATGATATGTGGTGTTTCTGAAGATGAGAGGTAAGAGGTCTTAGGTTACATTGCCTGGCTTGAGTAGTAGGAGAAAGATCACTGAAGATTTGTATTTTTTTGTCCTTTGTTCTATGACTAATTTATCTTGTGTGTTTGCCAAAAGCACTTCTTTACTGTCATAATATTGGAGGCATACAATTATATCTCTTGGTCTGGTGCCTGCTGGTGGTTTTGGGCTCAGGGAGCGATATTCTCCATGTCCATACACCAGTCTATATCAGGAATGTTTGGGGCTAGAGAAGTGATCAAGCCTACCAGATATGGTTGTAGTTCTTTGTCCTCAGCTGATTATGGGATCCCTCTGATTCAAAGATATTTTCACCATTTCCTGTTCTCTAGATCTTCCTAGTGGAGTTGGAGAAACATTTTGTCTCAGAGAGAGATTTTCTTCCTTTACACATGAACATATTGTACTAGTTCATAAAATTTAGTTTCCAGATTGTCTGTGCGCTCCTGTATCAGTTTTCCCCCTCAGTTCCTGGGTAATCTTACCCACCTCATTTTAAACAATGTATGTGATGTTTTACAGTAAAACATGGAAACTGTCATCCAGGACAGTGATGGTCAAATATGGCACTGATCATGGAAGTTATTTTATTAATTTTTTTTATTTATTTCAGGTACTTATATAGCATTTTACGCAGCGCTTTACATATATATATTGTACATTCACATCAGTTCCTAACCTTCAAGGGTGTACAATCTATGGTCCCTAACTCACATTCATACATACACATACTAGGGCCAATTTAGACAGGGGCCAATTAACCTACCAGCCAGGGGCGGACTGACAACTCCTGGGGCCCCCGGGCAATAGGGGATCATGGGGCCCCTGTGTCCTTGCCCAAACTCAAAAAAGCCTATGAAAAAGGTACAAGGGGCATCTCATGGGGTCCCCTACTGACCCCGGGCCCTCGGGCAGTGCCCGAGTTTCCAAATGGTCAGTCCGCCCCTGCTACCAGCATGTCTTTGGAGTGTGGGAAGAAACCGGAGTACCCAGAGGAAACCCATGCAGACACAAGGAGAACATGCAAACTCTAGGCAGGTGGTGCCATGGTTGGGATTCGAACCAACCCTAGTACTACCAGGCAGAAGTGCTAACCACTTAGCCACTGTGCTGCCCAGTTATGAGGAAGAGACAGCGCCGGTGTCCTCAACCAGGTAGGAGAGTTGGTCTGGAGGCTCTGCTGGGTTGTTTGTTGAAATCAAAGGCAGGGATTCTGGCTTGGTCAAAAAGTGTTCCATTATATTGTTGTTAGGAGGTCACTGTTCTCTGGGAGGTAAGGCAGTTGTTTTTTGTCTACCTGTCTTGCCCATATAGTGAGTCTGGGGAACAAAGTGTTGTGTTGGATACTCCTGTGCTAAGGAGAGCAGATCGGTGGCAGAGGAATTTGCCCCCCAAATTCAATTTTATTAAGGCGCCTGTATCATAAAAACCTAACTGATTAAGATAAACTGGCTTCTGAAGTGATCATACTAATTATCTCTCAGCAGCCTTACATACTTATTAGTCAAGTTCAATACACGCTTCAACAGTACTAAGCCCTTATGAAGGTAGACCCAATCACATTGGTTTATGATCTAAAAGTCTCATTAAAATTGAATCTAGAATTGTTTATATAGGCTCTACTCAATTTAGGAACTCTCTACAATAACATAAGTTACAATATTTTGAATGGAGTTATGCAGGCCACCCCACATGGGCACTCATCCTAACTTCTACCCTATCTGCACCCCCTTGACCTTCTATCTTGAATTCTTCCTGTATGTTAAAAATGCTCAATAAAATTAGGCTTCAAATGTATTTCTAAAGGTCGAACTGTATGGAAAGTGTAATCTGATATGGTCCTGAAGATAAACTGTGGTCCAGACATGATACTTATTAAGTAATTTTAACCACATTGCACCAAGTGGATGGGTATACATCAGTTTCTTTTTCTTACTAGGAAAGAGTGTCTCTGATATAACAGCAGCACCACATAGTTGGCCTCTATGAGGGTAACAGCTAAGTCAAAACCATTTTAATCAAGATCTCACATGCCAATGAATCAAACAGCACCACACAAGTAATCGCTAAGTGATTAAAAACATTACACAAGATGTATTGCTGAAATTACTCTTCTAAATAGAACAGTGATTTTGTTTCAACTAAAACATGCCTTATCATTATCTTTTAATCTGTCTCAGTGCCATTCTCTTGGTTTATCACAAATCATTTCAGAATTATAAAAAAGTAATTGCTGGAGATAAAGAAAAATGCAGATATGATGGGCTTTCTTTTTCCTTGGTGCAATGAATGGAAATTCCAGTATAATAGCAAGGGTAATGTGAAGGAGGAGACATTTAAATAAAATAATGCATCTGTTTACACAACAAGCAGGATCTATCCAGAAAATATCACAAATTTCTTTTTCTGTAATTTAGTTAAACATAAACAACAATAATATAAATGTGGAACATGAGTAGAGAAAGACAAAGTCATAGATTTAAATTTTTCCCCCCTGGTGCACACTAATGTGAATGGGCTGCTGTGCCTGCATTTCACACAAGGAAAAGGAGCATGTACCTTTTCCAAAACGCATTCCCATGGAAACCACATGGTCTTTTTGACCATGCAATTTCCGTGCATTTCCCATGTGATGAGATGCATGGGGGTGCCATTCAGAATGACTGGCACCCCCATGTGTCTCGAAAGAGAAACACAATGCAGATCCGGGTGGTTGTAGGTTTGGGAATCGCATCAATCCCCACAAGAGTTAAACCTAAAGGCCCTTCCAAGTACCCAATCTAATTTACTGTGCTCCACTCTTTCAGGCATCCAAGAATCTAGGCAACTGAAGAAACTGTTTGCAAAAACACTCATGTGCACCTCACTGTAACAGCTAGTTGTATTGGGGTGGTTGCTATTATTGTAATGCTTGTTTGTTAGAATTGGGGTGGGGACACTTAGGATGCCTTTAGCTGTCATTTTGCTTTGCTGGGATTCTAGTGTGTCCCTGCATCTTTAAGTAGAAATGTGCTGCCTCCAGTCATGTCTTCCCTTGAAGTGGTTCTAAAGGCTCCAGGTTTTTTACCTTCATGCATTCTATGCAGCCCCCCCAACAGTTACCTGAACCCCATCCCATTCTAGCGATGTCCACAAGAGTCTCTGTTCTCTGGGGACTCTCACTCCTGATTGGCTGAGGCAGCCAGTGA